AGACACGATGAAAACTCCTTAATCTCACAACACATGGACAAACTTTACCATAGTTTCAACAATGGGAAACTGTTAGCATCTTAGATCAAGCTGAATCCAAAAACTCAAGGGAATTTCTGGAAGCTTGGTTATTCAGACAAGTCAGCCATCAACAGGCACATAGAGATAAACATTTATACACTATTCAAAAGAGACAATAAAAAGGAAGCAAAAGACCAGAACACCTCCTCGCCAGCAGTCAACACCCAGATAAGCAGGGATTAACATCACAATCAAACAATCAAACAGTAAACAACAGCCTAATCAAGGAACTACCAAGGAGAAACCCCCACCCCCACCAACACTGACAGGGCAAGCTACTGTATATAAACAGAGAACAAACCCCACTCCTTTCTAGCACTGAAGATGTTACCTAGGCGGGTAACGAAACGTCTGAAAGAAAACAACCAAGCTCAGAGAACCCCAAGGACTCCACAATGCGACTCTGAGCTACATATATTCTCTTCTAAAGACTGAATAACGCTAATCTTGGTTCAGTTTTTTTGCCCCTGTTGTGTCAACCTGGTTCCTTTGATTTGTTTATGGTTTTGCACAAGCCTAGGAAATGGGTGCAGGAATTAAGAGGTAATTATTATGCATTATTATGCATAAAAGGAATTTAACTCTTTCCTTTCCTGAAAAATGCTTTTCTGAAGCTGACATTTCTTTGCCCTGGGAGCAGCTGCTCCCCCACCGCAGCAAACAAAGAGCAGCTTGAGGTGAGCAATGCCTTTCAAGTCTCCAGCAGGGGAGGAAGTGTTTAACCTGCCCCATCTTGCCTGCTGTGGATGAGATGATGATGATGATGATGTAAACTATAGTCAGATTCACAGTCACAGGGAATTCTGGGACTTGAAGTCCACCCATCTTAAAGTTGCCGAAGTTGAGAAACACTGTTCTAAACTAAAATTAAGGCATGACTTTTTTTTAGTTTCCTTCTCACATTTCCCTCTTTCTCTGGACTGTGTAATCTTTTCTGCAGTTTCCCCCTTAATGGCTCACTTGTTCCTCCCCTACAGTATCCCCAAAGTCAGCTCCAAATTCCTTTACAGTTTAGGAAATGCAGAACAGGCTGGATGGCTGGATGGGCAACTCTGTTTCTCAAACTTAAGAATGGCTGGGGCCCAGGGATGTGGTCTTGTTGCCTTTGATGGGGGCGGGGAGGGGAATGCCGCTCACCTGAGAGACACTCTATTGACTCTTTGGACCTCCAACTTTTTCTTCAGCACCTCCCGGATCTGGCCTTTCTCAGGACCCTTTTTCACTTTCTCTCGGCCAATCAGATACAGGTGCTTGGGTGTTAAGATGAAGTCCCGCTTGATGGGCTGTGCAGAAGAAAAAGAAGAGATGGATGGCAAGAAGTGTGAACTCTTACAGCTGGTAATCTACTCAGAAAACTTTTGTTGAGGTAGGAGAATTAAAAACAGAATGAATGAATGAATGAATGAATGAATGAATGAATGAATGAATGAATGAATGAAAATGAATGAATGCAAAGGGGGAGGGGCAGCCTTGGGTGCTGGCATCCAAAGTGCCAATCCTTATTTATTTTCATATATTCATACACTGCACAGCTCCCAAGAAAAACACAAAGTACAAAAAACAAAAATGACCAGTGTCCAGCTTCATCAAGAAAACTGTTAGCTGTTCAAGGTAGTCCGGACAAGAAGCACAACAATTAATACCAGCTCTGTCTTTATTGTAAGGTTATAAGTATGCAAGTCTGAAAATATTTCTCCCCTCCTTTCCTTTTACTCTCCAGAAAACTAAGGAGGGACCCTTCTGAGATGCTCCCCATGCTCCTCTGTTTCTGTGGGCTGAGAGACCTTTTGCATGACAGTTGTCTAGTCTGTGGCTCTTCCTCCTGTCTCCCAAGGACATTCCCACATACCATTTCAAAAACCAAAACCAGCCAGCAGGATTGGCCTTAGAATCCTTAAGATACAGAAGACTGGAAAGTCACCAAAACAAGGTAGAGGTGATTGCCATTATTGTTGCTAGTGGAACAGAACCTCCATGTTCAACAG